TTGTGTTCCACACAAAAAATAAATGCGGATGAATTTTTCATGTTGATTTTGCGATAGGTCGTGAGAAGAAATATCGTAGGCGCCGAAAACATTAGCCTATCCAACGCTGTTGGCTAGGCCTAGCCTTATCTCGATTTTAGGTTCTGTTATCACACATAAAAACGGCCGACATGATATTTTCCATTGCTAGTATTGACACTTGTGAAATATAATATTTCATAGGAATTATTTCAAATTTGTTAAAAAACTGATTCTGACTGAGATTTTGACACTTAAACAAACATAATCTCAGTCTAACCGAACGACCGCATTGTGCGAGATGCGAAGTACAAAAAGTAATCTTATTAGAGAGGGCGCACTTTATTGACTGTATAAAGTATATATAAAAGCGAGAGTATTCCAGTGGATGCGATCTACAACCTCTGAATTTGCCTAGTAACGATGAATTCGTCGAGAAAATGGTAATATTTTATGAGAAATAGTCTGTATTTCTCATTTTTTTTATTCTTTTTCGTAAAAATAAAATTCATGCCAATATTTTTCCATGATTTATAATAATTGGAGTAATGCAAATGCATATTTTCTAAAAAAAGTCATTTTTAGTGAAATTTTGCCGGGAATGGGGCTTTAAATATGACCACAAAATATATTACTTTTTAGAATATAATGAGTTATTGATGCATAAACTTGTGTTTTACACAAAATAACTCAGTGTCATATGACAAAGTCTGATGCAATTTATCTTCCAAAGTCATGAGAATATTAAACATGTTTAGAATGATGTGATCGTCCCAAATTTAAACCTACTGCATTTGCATTTAACCCACACCCTCAGCTTTGGAGTTGCCTCACACGAGATTAAGAATATCTCAGATATCTATGGGAACACTCCTTAGATTTCCAGTCACTATAGGAGCAAGAAGCATTATATTATCAAATAAATTTTAATTATTTGTAAAAAAATAATAACTATAATATGAATTTCAGTAAAATAATTGTAAAAAATTAATCATATTTAAGTTATTCATATTTCAATTTTCCAACAGCAAAAATAGAATAAATGACAAGCGCCAGTAGGATTGTTCAAGATCCCTTAGAAACTGATTCTACATACTCCACACATATTGGCACATGTTGTTGTGAGCGGTTTACTTTACATACAAGAATTAATTTAAAATCAGTGTAGACAAGAGTGTAGACAAGAGTGGAGCAGAGGAATCAGGTTTGTTTTTTAAATGGAATGGAAGGGGAGCAGTGACGTCTCTAGGGGTATTAAAATGGGGAAGGGGGAGATGAGGTAATGTGGTATGATATGATTTTGCATAATATTTTGCTTCAAATATTTCAATATGGGTAGGGGGAGGGGGCAACTGGTGGTGCAAGCTCTTTCTGGAGGGAGTGCACTCCATGTGCTCCCCTTAGATACGCCACTGAAAGTGAGGAGATTATCTACTATGATGAAAAGAAAGGGGTTAAGGGTGAATTAAAGTATTGGAAAAACATTAAACAGACTTAAGGAAGTACTTGTGTCTAGTTTCAAACATAATTATGTTCAAGTGGGAGAAAATCACAAGATACCCACGAGGAAGTACAAATTTAGAAAGTTGTTTACACAGGAGTTTTAGTCATCTGATTGGAGACATTTCACCACTACAAAGATAAACATATGAGCAGGAAAAGCATTAAACAGGTCATTTGCAACGTTTATAAAGATGGCCGATAAATTTGTAGTGGAGATGTAGCTTGGTTGTTATGATGCTTGTATACCAATCACAGGGTCCTGGGTTAAAAACCTGAGACAGCACGACAAAAAAAAAAAAAAAAGTAAAACTTAACAAGGCATCTTACTTATTATTAACTTGATTTTGTTTTCTAGTCTTACAACCTGTCTCTTATACACATCTAGATGTGTATAAGAGACAGACAAGGCATCTTACTTATTATTAACTTGATTTTGTTTAAGAGTGGCCAGTGGTGGCACCGGGGGAGGATATTTTCCCCTGTCGTTCAACGCACGACTAGGTCGTCAGATCAAAAATTTTAAAAAGTAATAATTAGCCTATCCGAATAACGTTATTGTGACTGCCAATCCCTTAATATTGTGGTCTAAAAGCACATTTTGGACCATACTAAGCCATAGAAACTCTGCCTGTGAACCAACCCTACAAGAGAGTTTTCATTCTGGGCTGTCGACCAAGGCTTTGTCAGCCCCCTGGCTCGGACCCCTCCATCGGACATGTCGGACCCTCTATAAATATAGTTTTAAAAAAATGTAGAATTGCAGTGTTTAAGTGTGAATATATTTTGGGGAGTGTAATCATAAAGGGAGGACAATGTACAGATACACTATCCATAAGAAATTTGTCCTCCAAAATATCTCAAGTCTACACTTAATCTTTTTCAAATCTTATATGCAAATTTCTATTAAATATAAGATATATAAAGATAGGCAATAGATGAAGGATTGAGGTGTTTGAGGATGGATATCTTACGGAATTTACAAAAGGAGAAATTTGGGCATGTAACTCAAGGTTATAAGAGATTATGCCAAGGTACCAACCAGTACTGTATAAGAACTTCACTCATTTTACATAGAAAAGGGAAAATCAGCAGGTACTTTTCAAAATCTATGTCCTTAAAGCCAAAAATAACAGACAACAGATTTTTTGATTTTTGGTTGTTTAGGTTTGGGCAACACAAACCCTTTTTTATCTGGTCCAATCTTGCACATACGGAAAGCAAATTATTTTGTTAAGTTATTAAATTTAGAAAATATAACTGGATATTTAGATTTATTTTTCGGTGTAAACACCAAGGATAATCCCCAAAAGTCTGAAAAGACTTATTTCCAGTGGTCCTTCTGCTGGTGATTGGGTAGTACACTGGGAGACAATTCCTTACTCTTTTTTCAAAGAGTGAACTGCGATCTTTAACATTCACATGGGCCATTTTGCACATAGGACCAACGGCTTAAAGTCAGACTCCGGAGGAAAAAAAAATTGATATGTTGTAGAACTGATTTTTCTAAGACAGAAAAAAGTTGTTTGACAAAAAACTGGGGAACGGTGAACAAGATACAGATTTTTGAATATTTAAAAACTGGGGGAAAAAGGGGCGTAACCACCCATTTTTACACCTTTTTCCCCCAGTTTTTAAATATTCAAAAATCTGTATCTCATTCACCGTTGCTCAGTTTTTGATCAAACTACTTTTTTATGTCTTAGAAAAATCAGTTCTACAACATATAAAAAATTTTTTTCCTCCGGAGCCTGACTTTAACGTCTCATCCGAAAGACGATGCGCTTTTGAAACTCGCATTCCAACCCTCCAGCTGAAACACATGGAGAGCAGCATTGGGAATTGAACCGGGGCCAAGAGATCGCGACAGTTCAGTGCACACACAGTGGCTACCACCAGTTTAGCCGACTGAGCTAAGCTGCTTTGAATGTTATTTGGTATATTTAACTTATGAGCTTTCAAATGAAAATTATGAGAAAACGAATTTCTCCCCAATCCAAGTTGAGAACACATTATGGTCCTTTTAAATAATGTTTAATTTAATTTACAATATCTTTTTCAGATTTTATGTAACAGTATATCTTTAAACAGTTGACAAGAAAATATAAATAAAAAAAATCAGCTTCGAGACCTTACCTTTCCACAATTTCTACAGTGATGCTTGCGTCTGAGGACAGTAAACTGCCCTTTGCATGAATAACAATGTGTACACTGCTCATCAGGTTGCCAAGACGGTAAACCTATAATATCAACAACAAAAAGAAGAATGCAGGTTGAGAATATACTTTGCTATAAGTTTATAGATACATTTAGTTGCCTGTGCATACCAGTGTTTCCCAACTTGGAGTCCGCAAAAAATAATTGGGGCTCTCCACCAAGTCAAAACGGTTAGTTTTCTAATCTTACAACAGTGTGAATAACATCTTACTGCTAATCATTAAGAGCCTTACTAAAAATATAATGAAAAAGCTTCAACGTTGTATTTTTGTGGTGAATCATCTTCTGTTTAAAATCTTATCATTCTATTGGTAGAATATGGAGAATGAGTAAATTAAACTTGGGGGTCTGCAAAAAACTTTCCCGAGGGGTATGTGAATGCAAAAAGGTTAGGAACCACTGGTGTGTGCTATATGCTGGCGTTTGTACAATGCCCTATACTATGCTTGATAACTGAGTGGATAGATAATGGCTGAAAAACGTGAAGTGAATGAAGTAATTCCATGCATACAGAACATAGTTTTCAGCATGTATTTTAACAAAATGAAATGGATATCCAACCTATAAAACGATATCTAACTTATGACCAACCTTCAACTCTTTGACCCGATTTATTTCTACTCCGACTGCTGTTATGTCGTCTCCTCTCATCTCCAGCAGCTCTTCCGCTGTGATTACTATTATGCCGTACCCTTCTATCCCCACTGCTGTGTCTCGTACACCGCTCGTCCCCTCGTCCACTGTGCCCACTTCCGTTCCTGTGTCGCTCTTCGAACACTTCTGGCAGAGGTGAAGCTGAAGGATTGATGTGGTTCAAGAAGGTAGTGGTGTTCTCATCCAGGTTGTTCTCAGGGAGAGTTTGAACCAGATTGCTCAGGTCAAATGGATCAAGACATTTGACCTCAAAAACAGTTTTTAGAATGTTCCTCAGGTCACTTACATAATTCGACTGAAGCTGATCTGCAACACCTGAACCGACAGAGAATGTTTGTTGAATTAGTGAAATCACGGATATCTTTTTCGATTTTTAATGAATTTTGTGAAATCATACCTCATCATACAAAATCAAGAATATTATTCATTCATCAATAACATTAGTCTTAAATTGTAACATATGTTTATTTATTAATGTACTACAACTCCTGTAGCAAGTTAATGGCTGCTTGTTGTATTGGTATTAAAATCATAAAGATATATTAATATGATCTGTCAGCATTTAATTTCTTAATGTATGCATATTTCACAGGAAAGGAGACTAAAACGAGATCCTTATTAAAAGTACCATGCACAGCAATTAACTTTGACTTTATTTTACCAATTTCTTTTGGTGCATTCTAAGAGATAATTAGTCTCACCTGCAACACAAACAAACAAACGATGGACAAGATCACTCGTACTACTGAATCTTGACCTTGTTTCTTCTTTGGCTGCTTGTTCAGCAGCTTCAATTGCCATAGCAATCTCACGATCATCATGGTTATCTGATAAGTAGGAAGTGGAATCGCTACCACTAGAAAAGAAAGGGTTGATGGTTATTACCTTGCTGAAGTTTACAAAACGAAATCAATGTTTTAGCACTTTATTTAATTACTAAGAAAACTGCTGGAGACTACCAGCAGTCTTTAATTCACACAATTATTAAAATTTTTTTTTTTCATTTTATAACCTAATTAAATAGTTAAGATAGAAACACCAGATATTTTTAGACCTTGTCTACCATGGTACATATTAATAATTACTAGATATTAATCTATAATAATATAACAAATAATAAAACAAATAATTTAATAGGAAATTAGATGTGATGGCTACCAGCACACTTTAGTTCACAGAAATATAATTATGTGATAATCTGAGAAAATCGGAAGAGAATCATCGTTACAAGTATTCATCTGATTTTAGCTTTCAACTATAAATGTGAAATCTATAAAATATAAAAATATATAAAAAATATCAAAAAAACAATAGTATCATTTTTGCCTTTTATTACACTATTTTGCCTAGATGTCTATGCTTGGTTATAGATACCCAGATTTACACGAGCAGTGCGCATCAGTGACTTGGCCTTTGCCGACAACAAGGTTGACTGAATGCGGCTTTTCCCTCTTCCTTTGGGAGCGAAATGCAGAGGCTTTTACAGCAATTTCCCTGCCATGTTCCATGAAATAGATTATACACTATGAATATATGATTCATTTGCATACCGCCTACCCTGAATTCTCTTTCTTAAAGAAGGTAGATAGCAAAGAAAATCTTTGCCAACTCGGTAAGTCTAGCCGCCATTGTCTAAGGTTTTCGTGACTTTGTGGGCGGGGCTTCGCGTCCTTGTCGACATGTCAATTCAGTCTCTGCTTCCATTTGTGGAATGTAGAATTTCTAAATTTTGGGTAAGGCACAAATTTTGTATGGCCTAATTTAAGAGTTCAGTTTTCTGGTGGCACTGAAATGGTACATTAACAATTTGATCTAACAGTATTGAACAGGGGAAAATCAAGATGATACTATGCAAGGGGGTCCAGGGGGGCATGCCCCCATGAAAATTGTGTATTCTAGACACCCAAAAAAAACCTCTAAGGCGTTTTGGGAGAGCAATTATTATTTTTTCTTTCTTTTTTTAATTTTTTATACTCTCCAAATGAGGGGGGGGGGGAGGCGCTGCAGCCTGCCCAGCCCTCCTCTAAATCCGCCCTTGTTGGATATGTTTGAATGTGATTAATGTTTAAGAGTTTGACCAAAAAAAATTGTCTTCTTAACTTTTTCATAGTCATGTTTAAATGGATGGATTTATTTGGTGTAAAAACCAAGGATAGCCCACAAAAGTCTGAAGAAAAATTACTTCCAGTGGGTCTAGTACACAGTACACCAGAAGACAATCTCCTACCTTTTGTGAATAGTGTAATGCATTCCTTAACGTGCACATATTGCCCATAGGACCGACGTCTTAAACGTCTCAATCGGAAGACGGTGCGCTACTGTAACTTGTATTCCAGCCCTCCAGCTGAAACACAAGGAAAGCAGCGATGGAAATTGAAACGGGGACCCAGAGATCTCCACGATTCAGCGCACACACAGTGGCTATCAGCAGTTTAAGCTGCTGTTTGTCTTCCAGATCAATTACTTAAATATATGTAGTGAATGTTTATAATATTTATCATTAATTATTATTGTAACCTGTCATATTTTATTACTCTTGGTTCTATACTGAATAAAAAAAATGCAACACTACAAATATAATCAACTATTACTTTCATTCAATGGCATTAAGTAACATTATACGGGAAATAATGACAGGTGTCTCCAGTAGCCAATTGGCTCATCAATACATAAGCAGTGAGAGATTCTTTTATGGCTGCCCTTGAATACCGTACCCTCTTGGTGATTCAGTTTATTTGCTGGTAATCCTGTAAGTCTGATAGAATAACTTCAGACTTCTGTCAATATTTTCATGTCTTAGGGACCATATGTTATATTCATCACTTTCACAAAAGTGAAAACATACACTTTTGGGGAAGAGGGTTTTAAATGTAAGCCTATACTCATTTATGAAAAGATAAATGATGTTATCAAAATGACAAAAACCATCAATTTATTGTGTAACATATTAGGGGGCAGGGACAGAGAGGTAACAGAAAAGAGTATGTTTTGTACTTTTGTGAAATGATGAAAATAACGGATGTCTCCTTATAAAAACAAGCAACTGTACAATTTGAAATGCTATAAATAAAACTGCTAGTTTCAATGTATAAACCCGGGCACTGAATGGTCGTCGGCCAACACGCGATTCTATCGAGAACACAATGCGACGCATGCACGCGCAACGGATCCGTTCAGACTGTCACAAACAGTTAGCAGACGGCGTCGTGTCATCTAGCACTCACAGAGATCGGAGTAGGATTCATTGTGTGACGGTCGTACGAACGTTGTACGATGCAGTCAGTGCCCGGCTTAAGCAAGCTTAATTCTATGACTGCAATAGTATAGAAAAAAAAAAAACAAGCACAATGATTCACCTGTCATCAGACTCCCATTTGAATTCATCGTTTTGTGCTTCTGACAAAGCACACGTTGAACAAGAACAGGTTGAGCATTCATCATCGTCATCATACTCCTCTCCATCATCGCTTAATCCGCCATGAGTGTCGGCAGTACTCCTCGACCTTATCTTAAGCCCTGCCCCTGCGTGATGACCTACAATGCGATTCTGGGATAGTGACGACATTGAGCTACCAGAGCTGGCAACACTCGGTGTTCTTGTGTGAGACTTTATTCCATTGACATTACTGTGACTAGTCTCTGTCATAGTAGATTTACTCAGGTAGAAAACATCTGCATCATCATCATCCTCCGCTTCAAGGAGCATCTCACTCTGAGGACTTGTGTGATCGTAATACTCTGCATTTTCGAGATCGGAAAGAAAGCGGGTCATTGTGTAATCACTACACATTTCCAATTCGAGAGTCGACTTCTTGTTAAGTTCTGCAGTAGGTCTATCATATTCAGCGATAGTTGGATACTCTCGGTTGGTTAACCTAGCTTTGCATTCCAAAAGTATATTTTCATCAGGTTCACTACCTTTACGACCCAGAGTAGTTCCTGCATCATCACTCCCTTCCCTTGAACTGCACTCTGTATTCGCCCCGCTTCTGTTTCGCCCATTCGCTGTAAGATAGCATTTCTTCGCTGGTTCCTTATCAGACACATCTGAGCTTGTCCCTGACTCACTTGTCCTTATTTCCCGCTTGTTCCTTGAGGATGGTGCTTTCTTGGACCCTGAATTGGCAGAATCATCTTCTCCAGGCTTTTGGGATTGCACAATAATTTCTTCTGTCAAAGCCGAGTCTCTACTGAGGGAGGAGGACAAAGCATCTGTGCCATTACACTGTGAAGAGCTTCTCCGGCGCGACTGACTATGATGGCATCCATTGTTACTGCCGCTAGACCGCCTCCTCTCACTCGACCTCCTACATCTTTTGTGATTATTGTGCGAGTCATCACCATTGGTTTCAGTAGTGCTATTAACTTGTATTGTTGGCAGATTGCTATCATCAATTAAATTGTCTCTTGCATTATTTATGTTTTCTCTTGCATCCTTCAGTTTCTGAACACTGTCTAACATTTCATCAGATACCTGTGTACTACCGGAGAAAGGAATTGAATCTGCAACTAAATATTCAAGCATCTGATCGGAAAAATCGTTCCCACTGGATTTTCTTGCCATTACTTGATCCAGATCATAATCTGTTGGGAAGCTACTGCATAAAGTAGATCGTTCTGTTAGTGTACTGACACTAGCTGGTGATTGGCCGAACATGTCCATTTGACCAATACTTCTGATTGGTGATTGGATGTGATTGTCTGTGCGCCCATGAAGCCTTGGAATTGCTTGACTGGCAGAGGTTCCATTGAGAGCCACTAGCTCTTTCTCGATGTCTTCCCAAGAGAGGTCAGTACTGCTCAATGCTTTTTCTAATAGATGTAATTCAATACTGGTCAGTGTACATAGCAGTTCCCTGTGGATATTAATAATATGAAACCTTTTAATTAAATTCTACTATTACAAAATTGAATATCAGGAGAACTCTGATTGTGGAATGTTTTATTAATCAACGTTTTAACAGAATGCATCAGATTATTTTAACAAAAAGAAAGACAAAACAGAATGGAAGGAAATTAAAGAGGAATATATAGAAGTAGAATGTAATGTAGTTTTGTTTTGTTTCTTTATATTTTGTTGAAAGGGGAATAAATAGACACATTTTACAATAAGCAAAGTGTGGTCTATATAGGGAAGTAAATACCTCTACTCGTGATGAGTTCCAGGGGATAGTACCTGAAAGGGTCTCATCCAGGGTTACGGAAAATTTAATGCAAAAAACTAAATATTTAAAAATAAGTAATTAAAAATTAAAAAAATAAATTAATGGAAGGAAAAAAAAGTTCAAATAGAGAAAATAGTGAGAGAAAGTTGAGAGTTGGCTTTCGAATAGGAGTGGAATTGGTTTAGGGCTGGGCAATATTTTAACATGGGCCAAGTTTGTAGATTAAACCAATTTGAAGGTCAAATGATCATGCATAGTCGCAAAATGACTTACCACTTTACGCTCAGATCTAACAATTTCTTTAGACCATCTGTGTCAGTTCCTACAAATTATTGTTGTCATGTCAACACAAATTATGAATGCAGTACTCACTCCAGTCTTTTTCAAAACAACTTTTAACAAGACAAGATCAAAATGGAGTAGATCTGAATTGTTTCTTTGTGGCAGCTTATATTCTCCACTCACCTGATCTTTCTGAGGACATGTTGATACGGTCTAAACAATTCCGACATCTGAGATGCTGGCATGTCAACATTTAAAGGGCCATCTGGAAAGATCACCAATCCACTATACCAAAAATCAGGAGAAAATATTAAAATAATTGTGTATCCAAACATAAATAGATGATATGTATAGGGAACAGACACCATACATTAGAGATTAGAGTACATATATTTTCAACATGCACTTCTGTACACACAGTGTACTTCTTCATGTGAATAATAAATTACTTTCATGTGAATGATAAATCAATAGTGCATTCACATTCAATCACAATTTTCGCATTGAAAAGCCTAGCAAACCGATCAGAAAATCTGATCAGTATGTAAGAATAATAAACACATTATGAATATTTACCAGCTCCTTTGCCTCCCCCTAGAATATATCCGGCATCAAGTCTATCACAGATTATGCAAACTCAATGCATCCAAAGCCAAACATCCTGAAGATATTCCTACTTGCCTACTCAAGGAATTTGCCCATGAACTGTGTGTCCCCTTAACGCAAAAAGAGGATGTTTCCCCCGAGGCCTGGAAGATAGTCTTAATAACTCCAGTACCAAAAACTAAGTCAATTGAAGATGTCAACCAGTTACGACCCATATCGATAACGCTCACTTTGGCTCGCTTATTTGAAGGATTCCTCAGTGACTGGATTTTAGATAACATTAAACTAAAACTTGATCACCGACAATATGGGAATCTTAAAGGCAGCTCAATAACGCATGGAAGCTTTATAATAAATCTATACACTAGACTCTAAAGTTAAATCTTGTTTCATAAAAAAAATAATAACAGAGATTTATAAAGCACAAATTCCAAAAATATCAGAGGCACAGTATACATAATATATAAATTACAAGCAAATTCGGGGCAAAACCCCATCTAAATCACATCTCCGTGAACTTATCATGCTGATTCTGACCAATAATAACTTTGTTTTCGGCGACGGTCATTACCTTCAAATTCATGGCACAGCGACGACACTTTTGGTGAAGACCCCACTTCAAATTTGGCCAACGTCGATTGCTCGTCTCCTCAAATAACCCTCAAATTTCTTATTCCAAATTTGGAATAAATGACAAAATAAAAAGCAAAATAAAATCATTTTCATTTCTTGTAATATTTAATTGTGTTAAAAGGGACAAAACAACATATCCACAAGAGTGTTTATGTTGTCTCCTGATCAAAAAGATGGTGTCATTAGCATATTTTACTATTATTATGGTTATCTTTATTTCATGTGTTTTCTACCTTCATTAAATGCATTTTTTTTTGTTTAAAACTGGTCAAAATAAATGGGGAACTGAATTTAATCATCCCACGATTTAATTAAGAAGTATACAAATTAAGAATTATTTAAAATAGAACAGAATAACAACACATCCCTAGTAATATTTACAGTATAGTATGTTTCATGTAGTACAGAATTAAGTCTACTCAGGCATACAGTACTCAGACAAATCAAGTGCATTAACTCAACATTATCTCTGCTCATTTTGAGGAAGAACAGCTCCCTCTAGGGACCTACAACCTGTCACAACCTTATTCTTATACTGAAAAATGACTGCACAACCACAAACCTTGGTCAATAGAGGACGACAATTAATGTATGTTGTTAAAACGCTGAAAACTATTTGGCTACAAGCCAAGTTGACACCAGACAATCTGTATTTACTCATGGTGTACTGGTTTCCTATGCCAATTTTTGTCACCAGACATAAAGACCCTTTCTGTTTTTCAAAAGTCTACCAATGAAATGATGAGAATGAATTATATTTTAGTCAAAATACTGGCAGTTTGCCAAGGCAATTCATGTAAATGCAATGATTACAAATCTACTATTTATATTGTACATTTAGAATCTCCAGACAAACACGTAGTAAAATGCAATTACAAACAAACCAGGGAATAACAGAAATAGAACAATTCAGATTAATAATTACACACACAGCCACTTTATGTGTTAATTTAGACAGCATTTAGTTGAATGCTGCACAGCCCTATTATGAGAAACGTTTTTAATTACAGTACTATAGACAGTGGAGAGAACTCCAATACTAGGAGATGGATTATTTTACAATTGTGACATATTTACGAGGAAGAAATATAAGAGGCGCACTCTTCAATAAGGACCAAGATTGAATAAATTATTAACATTATTGTAACCCAATTTGTGGCTGTAATTGAATCTGAATGATGTAAATGCTTTGTCTTGTATGATCGCATTAAATACCTTCCTTATAAATCATTGTACTCAGACAATTGTTATTATTACAGTTATTATTCTTGTTTTAAAAATTGTAAAAACCTAAATAAAAAAAACCTTTTATTTAGGACCTTTATTTTAAGACCTTTAAGAGGGTGGGGATATTCGGATAATTTTTTTTTCTTATTGAGAAGATTGGCTATAGGTGGAGAAAAAAATAAAACCATATTTTATTGAAGAATTATTTTAAATGTGAATTCTTGAGGTTAAAAGTAAATGAGGACGTTCTTAGGCTCCCGCTAGAGATCATATTGCATTGCCGCATAAATCATGCGATGAGGCAATCAATTATGTAAACATTTCAGAAACCAGACAAAAATATTCGGAATATTTACTGTACCTAATTCTGTGGAGGAAAAAAATTGACCATGGTCTAAAAATACGGGGAACAAAATTTTCACAGCAATGAGTAACAAGCTCACATCAAGATAACAAGCTAGAAATATATTTTATTTTTATTAGAAATAATCATTATCAATGGGCCTCGAAGGCTGTTAACATCCACAACAGGAATGAAAAGATGACCATGATTTTTTTTAATTGGAATGTAATAAGTGTTTGATGCATGCATAAATATCCCAAAATATTAAATATGTTTAAAATAGATAGATTAAAAACAGTAGTATGCATATTTTCTTGGCTTTTTGAAATACAAAATTCAGTAACATATGGATACTAATAAAAATCTTTATGTCTGACTGAAATTATACATATTTGTCGGAGCAGTAAGTGAGGTAACAAGCTAGAAATAAATTAAATTTTTATGAAATAATCATTATCAATGGGCCTTGAGGTTGTTAACATTTACAATGGGGATAAAAGGATGACTTTGGTTTTTTTTTTCCCTTGAAATAAGAAATTATAAACATACAGTAGTAACATATGGATGCTAATATAAAAGATGTCTTAAAACTGCTATAATATTTCATGTTATTCACAGTTAAAATATATGCATTTAACAGACATTAGAAGATGGTTAAATCTACACTAATAAAAGCAATTGTGAATTATTTTTTGAAAGAATAATTTATAGTATTTTCTGTTAATCATTAATAAATAGTATGCTGAAATTTATGCATGTTTGAATGTCTGATGTTGAATTTACCGGTAATTATGAACTTCATTTTTTTTTGCCATCCTATAAATATTTATACCTATAGGAAATAAGACAAAGAGCTTAAAAATAATTATTTTATTTCATTCGCATCTATTAGTATAGTAACTCACCAATTACATGATGGAACAATGCTACATGAGGCCTAGGGAGTGGAGTTGCTTTTAGCTGTGACAAAAAAATCCTGCTGAGACAGGAACTGATCCTAGGACCCTAAGTTTAAAAGGCAAGATCTTTACTAGTAAGCTACTGTACAACCTTGAATTGAAGCCCTGGGCTTCTCTTTTTAGAGAGCTTTGGATAGGCTTCTTTTAGAGGCTACTTTTGCAAAGTAAAGAGGGGGGGGGGAGGCTTCTTTTCAAAATGAATGCTGTAAATTTTGGGAATTACTATTATAAAACAATAAATAGGGCCACTGTAACATCAATCAATATCATAGAGGGTATTAACCAGCATTAAATCACCTAAACTATTTAATATATTTTGTTTCTTTGAACATGTACAGTGTATGTACTGTACTATCTTGAAAGAAGCAGATGGCCTTCTTCTCGAGATTAAACGTATTGGCCTTCTGAATGAGGTTACGGTATATAACTCCACTCTTCATGCTTAGATATATTTCCTATTCAGTGTTATATAGACTGTGCATATATATTTCATTTTAATAATTTATTTCAAAATCAATTCAACATACAATTAAAGAAAATTAACATTAGATATTATAACATACAGTCGAAATAATTAAGTTATGTCAATTAAGTTAAACAAATCAGTGTATGCATCATTGAAAATGAAAAAGGGATAAGCAAAATAGGCAAATGAGTCACAAATGCCTTAACTCATGCTCTCCTTAATAAAAATAAAAGAAAAATATAAATAAACAAAAAAAGTAAATATAAAATAATATTTGTAGTAGTTGCATGAATAATTAAAGTTACTGTAGAAATAAATAATTACATTATTGTTCCATTATTGGAGTACTACAGTATTGTTATTATTGCCATGAAATAAGTATCTACTATTTTAGCACAATATGTTCATTTTATATTTTTTCTTCTTTTTTCCTTCATTCTTCTATCTATTTCTTTCTCCTTATTTGTAATAATTGTTTATATTTACAACGTTAGTTCAACTTATAAAACAGACATGGAATTAACAATAAACTTTGTTACAGCATACATTTCATGTATTATCCAATGTGTATTTCTTAAGATACTTTTTGAATGAATAGAAGGAATTAAAGATTTTAATGTTTTGAGGGATTTTATTCCATATTTGGGGTCCTTTATATGTTATGGATTGTAGGGCTTTGGAGGAATCTTTTTTTGACGATCTAAAATCTGAACTAGACCTTGTGTTGTAGCTACGAACGGACCGATTTAATTGGAAATAATTTTGGAATGTACTTGGGATGAGCCCCTTAAAAAATTCCAACATAAATGTTGCAACAGCCATTTCATAAAGTTGAAAAACATTAAGTGATGCAGTTTTTAGGAAGAGTTGTTTAGTTGGGTAATGATAATGGACTTTACATATTATGCGTAGGGCTTTCTTTCGTAGTTTGTAGATTAGTAGTGTGGGTGGATCCCCATGCCTCGATATCATACGTGATAATGGGAACTATTAGGGATTTATAAATGGTAAGTAATGCATGAAATGGTATACTGTATCTAAGTTTATTAGTAATTCCAATAATATTAGACATTTTTAATGTGATCATATTTATGTGGTGACCAAAATTGATAAATTTATCAAAAACGATACCAAGAAACTTACATTTTTCAACTCTCTCGAGTTCCACATTGTTCATTGTAATAATTAACAATATAATTAGTTTTACTTTCGTTAACAGTTACAGTAGTTTTTTTGTTAGAAATAAACTGTTGAGGCGGTTTAAAAATAAATTTATAGATGCGAAAGCCAAATCTAAATCATTACTATTGTACTAAGAAGATACTAGTATCATCGGCATACATAACAACATTGTCATAATACACACATTGAACTAGATCATTTATCAATAACAGGCCTTGTATAGACCCTTGTGGAACACCACATTTTACGTGAATAAACCATTAAAAAACAACCTTTAATTATCCACAGATGTTGATTTAGTTGCTGTGAAAAGCACAGACGTATACAGTACTTCGAAGAATGACACGAAAGAATAAATGTCAAATTCATTATAAATATTTTTTTCCAGATTTTTATAAATTTCCTGTTCTGTAGTTACCCCCGTAGCGTAATTCTCACATGATAAATTTTAGAAATTAATTACAATACTTCCTGTTATTTAGCTTGCAATTTTGAAATATGAGTTCAAAATAAATTACCATTCAATGATGAATTAACCATACAATATATCTGTTAACCACAGATGTTAATTCAGTTTCTATGGAAATCACAAAGTAGTTATAAATATACAGACAAATATTATAAAATAATGTCAAATTGATAAGCTGGAATCTTTGATACTGTGCAATATTTATTTTCACAAGTTAATGGAGTCATATTTTGTGAATTATTGTATTGTTCAATGGTACTTATCCTTATCTTTCTTTACTTTTTGTTATCGACCCGAATGGAAATGAGTTTCACTTTCGTTTAAGATTTTATTTGGTTATCCAGGTTAAATTAGTTTCCTTTCAAGTTGTAATGTATTTTTAATGCTTGCGCATTTTATGTAAATGCTACGTTGTTTGTTGAACCGACTAATCAAATCAAATGGCTTTTAGATGTTCTGCCATTTTAAGCTGGCCACTCCCTGCGTCCGACAGTTGTCGGCCATTGAGAACACAGCACATGATGCGCACACAACAGATCGTTTTTAATGACGATCCGTTCATACTGCTACCGGCAATCAGCAGACAGCGTCGTGTCGTCTAGCGCTCACAGGAAGTGGAGTTGGATTCATCGTACGATCCAGCGAGTGTTTGGCTTTAGCCATTTTCAGAATAATAAATTATTAATCTAAACAATTTTTAACTCTTTCTTGAGAATTTTTGTTGTTGCCTTACTTTAAGAGGAATGTCTATATGTCACTCACTACAAGAGCTGCCACTGATAACAATGTACTTAAATTCTCAACATGCAATGTAGACTCAAAAATAAATTACTGGCAATATGTTTTCATGATCATTAAAATTATTTCCTGATGTCTTATGAGGTTAATATAATTTACAAATGATTTTTGATAAACTTAAGATTTATAATCTGATAATACAATATGAACATCAATACTTCACAATTCCTTGTTCAGAATAAATGTGAACAGGTTGTGTGTCATCGTCGACTTCATCATAATTATTGTTGTTGTTTATTTATGAGTTTCTTTTCATCATTGTCTTAATTATTATTCTCCTTGTTAGTTTTACTACTATCAGTATACGTACCATACAATGACGAGCCTCGGTAAAGTAAACATAAGTGCTGCATCATAATCGTCTATCTGGTCTTGAGTTAGTAGTTTCTCATTTATTGCTCTGAAGGGATTCAAGAAAAGAAAAAAAAAATCTTACTACTTGTCATATATGTATCTACAGAAGTACCATGGTTTAATAAAATGAGAAAAGATGATGTAAAATACATGTAATAATAACAATTTAGGATCTTACTTAACATTTAGATAATACAATAATAATAATTATAATGAAGGCGATAATATAATAATATTGATAATTATCATTTATTATTAATTAATATTTTGTCTTATATGACATATTCTATGACTTATATATAGTGACATGACATCATTAGATGCCCATATATGGATATGATATTGATATTATCGTGCCAATATATGTGTCTATGCCCTTTTGCCTTACTGTATGTTTACTAATAAAGTTTCCACATGGGATTCGGTTATCAAGAAATGTGTGGTGTTGTATTTTTTTTATGACTTTTGTACAGTAATAAAGTACTTAAGATGACACATGACCCATCATGCACCTCCATCGGATTTATTCTTTTACCATCTTTAATTGCCAGATCATAACATAGTGTCTTTGCACCCCAAGGTGGCATAGACACAAAAATTATCAATTTGAACATAGAAAATTAGTGTATTTAAAAAACGTTTGACCATAATTTTTAAAATAAAACATGAAAGAAACGATTAAAATCAATACATTTCTATATTTTTTATTATCATTATCTAGTATAGTATCAGGGTACATATTCTGTAAATTCATAACTTCAATGTTCAATTTAATAATTTGTATATTACTGCAAAATTATTTTTTTCAGGGGACAATACATCTGTAATGGGACAGAATTGGATATACCGGCTCTCTAATTTAACCTTGTATCAAATAATGTATACTTTGTATGGATATTGCAAATATGTATATCATTTACACTGAGTTTAATTTAAATCCATGCATTACCTGGGAGGAATTTCACAACAATTTGACCAAATTCTATGGAAATACATTTAACATTTTTGGCTTTTTTTTAACTTTAATGGTAGATCACAAATGTACATATCATTTAGGTTTTGAAATTTTTATCAAGTTTATATAAGAGAAGTGATGATAATAATGTTAACAAAAACATCAAATAAATACTCTTTAAATTAATATAACAATAATAATTAACTTATATCAATATTAATAAAGAAAATGTTGTATTTTTTATATATGTCTAAAAAAATAACAGCAAAAATAGCTACCAACATCATCACCAAAACACACACAACAGCAGCTGCAACAATAGCACCTACAGCAGCACCATCAACAATAATACCATCAACAGTAACAGGAACACCATCAACAGGGGCGGATTTAAAGGGCCGCCCCCCCCCCCTTTTTGGAAAGTGGAAATTTAAAAAAAAAAGAAAGAAAAGAAAAAGAAATAATTGATCGCCTAAAACGCCTCATATGTTATTTTCGGGCATCTCAAAGCACAAAAATCGCAGGAAATTCCCCTGGACCCCCTAGGGTAGTGTTGTCTTGATCGGCCCAACTTTCGGCCCACCTTCCGGCCCTCCCTTTCGGACAACTCTGGATCCACCCCTGATCAACCGTAACAAGATCACCATCAACAGTAACAACAAGAACACCATCAACAGCAAAGAACACCATCAACAGTAACAAGAACACCATCAACAGTATTAAGAACACCATCAACAGCAACAAGAACACCATCAACAGCAACAAGAACACCATCAACAGTAACAAGAACACCATCAACAGCAACAAGAACACCATCAAAAGTAACAAGAACACCATCAACAGCAACAAGAACACCATCAACAGTAACAAGAACACCATCAACAGCAACAAGAACACCATCAACAGCAACAAGAACACCATCAACAGTAACAAGAACACCATCAACAGCAACAAGAACACCATAAACAGCAGTAACAAGAACACCATCAACAGCAACAAGAATTAACGCTTAGTATGGTCCAAATTGTCACCTTTCAGACCACAACAATCGCTGTCTCTTATACACATCTAGATGTGTATAAGAGACAGAGCCTAAACACTTCGTATCATTTGTTGATTATGACTTAAATTGGAACGAATAAGGTCCATGCTGTATAAGGTATCGGCAACTAAAGTGTCGCACTTAAGTCGGAAGCTCAATACTATGGGAATCATTAGATTTTGCCTTTTGAAATAGTGTCATTGATCAATTATATCTAGCAATAACAGTTTTGCACTTTATTTATTTATTTTTTATTTAAATAATATTTTGTGAGGGTGGTCCATTCAGCCAGAGCAGATCAACTTGGACCCTCAGTACAAAGACAATGTTGTAAAGATAAAAATAAGCTGGACCTACTAAATTGAATTAAAATTAAAGACTAAACAATCATTTCTATACAAACAATTGCGATTTATTTGTACAAACCTTATCAGAGTAGCTGTTAATATTCTTCAGACATTGATCCTTGAGCATGTTACGTAACGAGTCTAAGCTTCCAATTAACGCCCTCGCAAGTGGTCTCAAAGCTGCGCTCTCTATCTCCCGTTGCATAATCGTTGACCCAGCTGCAAGACACTAACATAAAAACACAACAGGGTAATAATGTAATGTGCATAGAGGTTAGTCTACAATATGCGCTATATAAGTTGACAATTATTATTATTATATTAATCAAAAGGCATTTTTATTATGCTACAAAATAAAATGTAAAGCTAGACTTTGAATTGACAGCTACACATCCAAATCATTCCCTGGGCTTTTACCTGGGTAAATGCTAGTGGGTGAAACTGAGTTAAAATAGGGGCTTATGCCTGGGCAACTACAGTACATCAGGGGTCCCAAATCGGAAGACCTCCCACACTCCCGTGAGCAAGAATGTAGTGGCTTCTCCCAGCTTGGGACCCATGGATACATGTAGGTCTACTTTGATGTTTACATGAAGTTGTAGTGCCTACTGTGTATAGCCTCTATTCAGTAATTCAATATTTACGTAATCCTGCTATGCAAACAAGTGGATACATTGCCAACAGTAGCAAACCTGGTTAACTTTGAATGCAAAATACCCTGAGGTTTTAATATTATAAATATGGCATGTTTTCATTTTGTCAGGTACTATGAATGGCAGCTATAAATACTCCCCAGGGAGCAGAGGGCAGCATACTGTGCATATTAGCCAATTTATGTATAAGAGTTATTACAGAACTAATGTAATGTTTGAAGTATTCTGATACTTTTTTTTTTGGTTTATATAAAAGTCACTATGTACTGTAACTCCCCAAGCATTATAATGACACAAACATTTATATTTTACTGGCAAATTTACTAGATTTGAGAAGACATACAGTAACAACAATACTGTAAATGCCATTCATAAATAACAGCACCCTTGTTATTAACCTGCCCCTAGTGGACGACTGTTAACCAGTCCCTGGTGGTTGTTAAACCTTACCCATTGCCATTTTAGAGAAGCTAATTTTACAAAACAACCTTGATATCAATGTTATACAGTAATAACAAAGCACATCATTCAAGTTGCAAAATAATGAGCATGTATCAAATAATTCCATGTGTCAATATGAAGAAAAACCTAATAGGATTGCATTACTACTACTACATACAGTAGTGCTTTGCTCTAGCAAGCATTTTTGCGAATTTACAATTAATAAAAGAAATCGATCCTTCCATCAGAGAGTTTCGATTATATCAACAAAATGCTAATTTTTCTCAAAACTGCAGTAAACCTTGATTTATAAAGAGCACATTATTTCTAATTTGAATACAGGCCTATAATGTTACATTTTTTAAATAATGGGAAAGGTAATAAATTTGTAGAGCGCTTTCCACAATTCAATCGTAAGACGCTGACAGTATTAATAATATCTTTTAATAAATAGTGTTTAACAAACTGAAATCTAAATAAATTATAAATTACAATATTTATTAATTTTTGTATTTCATTTTAATTTTTTATAAATGTTATATGATTGTATTATGTATGGACGCACCACCATGCAGATGTGTGCCATTGTTCCTAAAGTGAAAGCCATTAAATATTAAAATTATGATCATAATAATTAGGCCTACAGTATTGAAGTAATATTATGAAGGTAGCATTAATAGCAATCAGTGACTTCAAAAAAACATCAAAGATAAAACAGCGACATGGGAACAGCATTAAACAGATGAATAAAAAAGAAAAGGAATGATCTTTCGACAATATACTGCTTTTATATACTGTAGGAACTTTTCTAGCATGTGGTCACTTGAGGAAGATAGTAGAAATTTGGATTACAGGCTGGTACTTATGTTAAACGTCCTTTTAACACATTCAATGGTTGAAGTGGTGTATTTATAGAGATCACAGTATATATCTTCATTGATGTATGTTCATTCACATACATAGAATGGTATTAATAATCTCAGAGGTTTATTCACAGGAAATTAAAAAGATTAATATTATTTATAAATTGACTGCCACTTTAATAACCATAGTATTACAAATTATTTAAATATTAATATTACAATAAGAATATGAAATGAATTTATTGCAAATGAACAATTTTGCAAAAGTATATTGTTTAAACAATGTCATACAAAAATAAAACTTTAAATCATAATTACATAAAGTCTGCATAATTTATGTAGCATTTAACTGTAAGGTATTTCTATATCAATATACAGGTATGTGATGCCATTCAACAAAACGTCCTAGTTTAAATTTGATTACTTGAAAACATGCATAAAATCATTAAAATTTGAAAGAACTAGTGAGGCATCCAGACCAGTGTCTTGCGGGACTTAACCGGGTTCGTTAATGTACACATCCCAGTTCTCCCCACCCACCGACAATATGAGGTACCATTTTAACGGACATTCCCAATTAAGTCCCTGCTATTCTACTGCCTGGAAAATAACTCAGCTACTCTTGAGTTTTAAATTCTGGCCATTTCCAGTCCAAATACCACAAATGGTCAGTCAGTCTCCAATATATCCTGGCGCTATGGGGACACAATATCTGTACATCCCTGGCTCAGTCCGGCTAGTG